TATATAGAGAGAGAGAGAGATCAAATATAAAAACAGATACAGATTATTCTAATTTGGGAAAGAAGCCGGGCTTGGTGGCTCAACCTGTAATCCCATGCCTTTGGGAGGCTGAGGTGAGTGCATTGTCTGAGCCCGCGGGCTCGAGACCCGCCTGGGCAGCGAGAACTCATCTCTACAATAAATCAAAAAATCAGCTGGGTGTGGTAGCGCATGCCTGTAATTCCGGCTACTCAGAAAGGCTGAGGCGGAGGGATCGCCGGAGCCCAGGAGGTCGAGGCTGCGGTGGCCGGGAGCGGCCACTGCACTCCAGTCTGGGCGACTGAGTGAGACTCCAACTCAAAAATAATAATAATAATAATAATAATAAATAATAATTTGGGAAAGATTTATAGAAACCTTAAGAAATGCAGAAGTAAGCCAAGGAAGCATGATTGAGGCCATTTCAGCAAAAAGAATACTACGACATAACGAAAAGCAATTAGAAACATCAAATGTTGTTCAGGATACATTAAGGATACACTAGTAGAATGCAAAGGACTACAAAGTATGTAAAGAGATGGTTTTACTCTGCTACTGATAAAACCATAGACTAATATACACTATGCATATAATGCAAAACTGTCAACAAAGTTTTAGCAAACATTTCGGTAATGCATAGAAGTGATAATGCACCATCCATCAATGATTTTTCCTGGAAAAAGTTCATTTAATATTTCAAAATCAACCAGTAAAAATCAACGTCTAAATAGAATACAGGAGAAACTTCATATGAACATAAGAATAGATGCAGAAAATCACTTGAACAAATTCAGCATTCAGTTATGATATAATCCAGTACTCTAGCAATAGAGGAAAACTGCTTCTGTATCATGTCTTTAGAAAAAAATCTAGAGCTAGCTTCTAATAATATTTTTCTCTAATATTGACAACAACTCAAATATGTCTGCTCTTGTCACTTCTATGCAGCATCGTGCTGGTGATCCTAATTAGTGTAATAAGACCAGAAAAATAAATAAAAATTATACAGAAAGAAAAGCAAGAAGTAAAATTCTATTTAGAGATGATATGATTGCATGTGTAGAAAATCCTGACAGAACAAAAAGAAACTAAAGCGGATAGTGAGCTTAGTAATACCACAAGATACAAGTCAAAAATCAGTTGTAATTATATATAAAAGCAATGAAACACTGAAAATTTTAAAAATAAATTCCATTTAAATTAGCTTCAAAAGTTCAAAATATTTGGAAATAGATTTTACAACAGACAAAATAAAGTTGCAGTATATCAAAATAATTTGAATTAGTCTAAGGATGGATATATAGATGGATGAAACAAAATATTGTGAAGAAATAGAACCACAAATACATAAACAATTGATTTTCAATAAATATACCACTATCCTTTAGCCAGAAAAGTGTAATTATTTCAACAAATAGTGCTGGAACAATTAGATATTCATATGCAAAAAACTGAACCCCAACCTTTACCATACATTATACATAAAAATTAAATAAAAACGCACCGTAGACAAAAATATTGGAGCAGACTTTACAAATCTCTTGGAGAAAATTCAGGAGAAAATTTGTCTACCTTGATTATAAAAATTTCTTATAAACTAAAAATATAAATTATTTAAACATTATAAATTGGATTTTATCAAAGTAAAATGATGCACTTATACTATCTTATGATTTAACTTGCAAAAATGTACAAAAGAGAAATGAAAGCATTTGCCTATCCTAAGACTTGTACATGATTGTTCATAGCAACTTTATTCATAAGAGCAGAAAACTGGAAACAATTTAGGTATCCATTCACAGATGAATAAGCAAACATATTATGATATACTCATGCAATGTAATATTAGTCAAGTAAAAACAAGGAACTGCTGATATTCACAAAACATAAATAAATCTCAAAATCATTATGTTGAACAAAAGGAGACAAAATGTACAATCACATTTGTATGAAAATTTAGAAAACAGGTGTAATCTATAATGACCAAAAGATCATTTGCCAAAATGAGATGAGGGGGGAGGAGTTTCTGTTAGAAATAGCTTTCTATGGTAACAGGAATAGTCTATATTTTATATGTGATGGTAATTTTACAGGTAATTACAAAAGTATTTAAGTTATACAGGTATTGAAAACTTTTTGAAATATATGATTGAGTGGGCACACTTTAACATAAACAAATAATAAAGCTGGTTAAAACATACATTAAATTAAATGCTATGCTGTCATAATAATTAGTTATTGCAAAAAATATATTTTGAAATGTGTGTGGAGACACTTGATACTGTACAACATAAAATAAGCAGAATAAAAATAAGATGAAATATTTAACATTCATATGGTATTAGAAAAGAAAGAAAAAAGAAAAGGTAAAAACAAGAGGTTGATGTATTAATTCAACAGGAATTTATTCTATACTGTGCCATTATCAAGATACTATGTTAAGTTTTAGATACACAAATCTGAGAAATATATTTCTGTACATATTAACACTGATGCCATGATTTGAATATTTATTGCTTCCAACTTCCATGTTAAAATTGGATTTTTAATGTTGGAGTTGAGGCTTAAGGAGAGGTGCTTGGGTCATGAGAGTAGATTCCCTATGATGACTTCTCACTTCATTAGTTCCTGGGAAAGCTAATTGTAGAAAACAGCCTGGCACCTCCATCGCTACTCTCTTGCTTCCTCTCTGGCAATGTAATCTCTGTACATGCAGTCAGTTCCCTTCTGCCATGACTGGAAGCACCCTAAGAGTCTCACCAGAAGCACAATCTTGAACTTACTAGCCATCAGAATCATGAACCAAATAAATCTTTTGAAAAATTTATTTAAATTAATAATTATTCAGTCTCAAGTATTCCTTACAGCAACACTAAACTGACTGAAACAATTGATTAAATTCACACATAATTAACTCTAGAAGCATAAAAGTTACATTTTGAGTCTACGTTCTTACTTTGTATTTATTCATTATGTTTTTAAATGTAATATTCAAAATTCACTAGTGTAAGGAAAGTTACAAGCTTAACAAAAGAGATAGCAGTTCAATTCTGTCAAAACATAATAAAATCTGGTATCATTTATTATGGCAGTAGTTTGTCTTGAGTGTCTCTTCATCATGAAAAGTCAAAAAAAGAGCATAAAATAATATATTTAAAATATCAACAACAACAATTTGCTAGACACAGCAACAATGAAGGAGTTCAAAACAGGATAACCAGACCAGAAAGTTTGGTGACAAGTATCTATGTAACATACACCTTACCATAAATAAACACACAACATTTAGTATAAGAATTAAGAATGATTATTCATACTCTCAATAATATACCATTTAATTTACAAAAGAAGTTATTATAAGTCACAGTTGAATTACCTATAGTATGAAACATTAGCTAGGCAATCACCTTTATTTACCATAACAACCCCAAAGTGGATAGTATAGCTTCATTTTAGACATGATGAAATACACTGTAAAAGGATTGAGAAACTTGCTCAAAGACCCCAGCTAGTGCCTCATGGTAGAAGCTCCGCTCTGCAATGCTTCACCTAGAATTCAGAAGCATTAAAACACTTGCAAGTTAAAGTTCAAGATAATTGACTCTCCATAGAAAAGCAAAGGAAGAAATGGAAGGGAAGATGTTTTTCGCCAGTTCTTTTCTTTTCCTTCATAACATATTCTTCCTTTCTTCCCTTTACTCCACCCATGTACTCAAAAAATGTGGCAGCTGTTTTATTCCCATGTTTACATTTAAAAAAATAAACACAACAGTTTTATTGAACTTATTTAATTCCATATATTGTAAAGTCATTATTTTAAAACTAAAAATTTAGCTTTTTAATATACTCCCAAAATTGTTCAAAATTCACCACTATATAATTTTAGTATATTTTCAAGATTATTCCATTTAATTGTATTGCCAAATAATATCCCATTGCATGAGTATACCATGTTTCTATGTATCTATTAAACATTTACTAGACATCTGTATGGTTCCACTATGCGATTATTTATAAGTACTACTGCCATGAACATTCATATACAAGTTTTTGCATGAGCATGTATTTTCATTTTTCTTGAAAATGAACTTAGGAGTAGAGTTGCTGAGTCATATGAAATTCTTATGCTGACATTTTGAATAACTACCAAATCACTTTTTTTCAAAATGGCTGTACCATTTTACAATACGAAAAGCAATGCATGAGGGCTTTAAGTTTACATCTTAGCCCACACTTGTTATTGTGCTTTTTAATTTAGCCAAACACGTAGGTGTAAAGTGATATTTCCTTGTGGTTTTAATTTGCATTTACCCAATGATTAAAGATGTTGAGCATCCTTTCATGTGTTTACTGACCACATGTATATCTTTAGAGAATATCAGTTCAAATTACTTGCCTATTTCAATTTTAGTTATTGGTCTTTTTATTGCTGATATGTAAGAGCCTGGGAACAAGTCCTTTACCAAGTATTTTCTCCCAATTGTCAGTTGTATTTCTGTATTTGTCAGGTATTCTCCCAACACATTTAAAAAATATTTATAAAGGGCATTTATTTTATTTTTATTTTGTTACTTTGTGTTCCAATGCTACAAATAAGAAATGGTTACCTAATCTAATGTAACAAATATTTGTGAATATGTTTTTTTAATTTTCTAATTTTAACTTTGATATTTATGTTTTTGATCCATTTTAAGTTTATTTTTGTGCATGGTGTGATGTGGACATTCAACTTCATTCTTTTTCATCTAAATATCGATTTGTCCCAACTTCATTTTTTGAAGACGACCCTTTCCCTCATTTAATTATTTTGTAAAATAATAAGCAAAACAATCTATCAATCATTTAAATAAGTTTATTCCTTTATTTTTTCTGTGCAATTAATCTAGATGCCAATCTTTTTTGCTAGTGTCACACTGTCTTGATTATTACATCCTTGTGGTAAGTTTAGAAATAAAAAACATTCCATATTTGGTTTTTGTCAAGATTTTTTTTTTTCTTTCTTTTTCTGGAACTTCTGCATTTCTCTCTGAATTTTAGAATCAGCTTGTCAATTTCAGCTTTAAAGAAAGGCAGCGCCCTCGGCGGCGGCGTGAGAGAGCGACAGGGTCCCGGGTGCCCTGCTGACCCAGGGGTCTCCGGCGCCGAGGGCAGCGATGAGATGTCAGAGAAGCAGCAGCCGGTAGACTTGGGTCTCTTGGAGGAAGACAATGAGTTTGAGGTGTTCCCTGCTGAAGACTGGGCTGGCTTGCATGAAGATGAAGATGCACATGTCTGGGAGGACAACTGGGATGATGACAATGTCGAGGATGACTTCTCCAAATAGTTAGGAGCTGAACTAGAGAAACATGGTTATAAGATGGAGACTTCATAGCATCCAGAAGAAGTGTTAAAGTAATGAAACTTGAACTGTTTACTAAATTCTGGGACAGAGAACTAAGGATGGGGCATCTTACAAAGAATGTTTATCTCATTTTCTGCTTGTTTATTTTTGTTTTTGTTACAAGAAAATTAAATGTTTTGATTTAAAAAAAAAAAAGAAAGAAAGAAGAAGAAGAAAAAAAAGGCAACCTGAATTTTGGTAGAAATTGTGTCTGATTTGTAGGTCAGTTTGAGAACCTATTGCTATCTTAACAAATTAAGTTTTCCAATTCATGAATGGATAATATTTCCACTTATTTATAATGCATTTAATTTTTTAAACACTCTTTTGAAATTTTTAGTGTACAAGTCTTTTACTATCTTTTGTTAAATGTATTCTAAGTATTTTATTTTTTGGTACTATTTAAAGAAATAGTTTTCTTAGTTTTATTTTCAGATTATTTATTGTTAGTGTATATAAATGCAATTGATTTTTGTATGCTTACTTTACATCCTGAAAATGTACTGAATTAATGTATTAGTTCCAATAGCTTTTTTGCAAATTCCTTAGACCTTTTTCTTTATCTATAAGACGATCCCATTTTGCATAGAGATAATTTATCTCTTCTGTCCCAATCTGAATACCCTGTATTTTTTCTTGTTTAATTGTTTTAACTAGATCTTCCAGCACGATACTGAATTCAAGTAGCAAGAACAAGTAATGTTGATTTGTTGCTAATCATAGTTAGAGAACATTTAATGTTTTACCTTTAAATATATTACCTGTGGGTTTTTTCTATAAATGATATTTATCAAGTTGAGATAGTTTTCTTCTTTCATACTTTGTTGGCAGTTTTTGCTATGAAAACGTATTATATTGTATTCAAATACTTATTCTGCATCTATTGAATTTATTATATGGTTTTCATCCATTTTTTATTAGTATGGTATATTACATTGACTGATTTTTGAATATTAAAAAATTTAGGAATAAGTATTATTCAGTAATGCTGTAAAATACTTTTTAGAGGTTGCTAGGCTCAGTTTAACTGGTATTGTTTTGAGGAATTTTGCATCTATACACACAAGGGATATTGATCTGTAGTTTCTTTGTGATATCTTTGTCTGTTTTTGATATCAGGGCAATACTAGCCTTTTAAAGTGAGTTGGGGAGCACACTTTCCTCTTCTATTTATGAAAGCACTGTGGGGGATGGGATTAATTCTTGAAATATTTTGCAGAATTCACCAGTAAAGGTGTCTTTGTCTGGGGAATTCTTTGTGGGGAGTTATACATTACTAATTGAACCTCTTTACTTACTATAAATCTATTTTGTTTTACTTCCTTTTGCATAACACTTGGAAATCAATGTCTCTTTAGAAAATTGTTCCTTTCATCAAGATTATTTAACATGTTGGCATATAATTGTTTGTAGTGTTTTCTTATAAATCTTTCTGTATCTTTTAGTAGTCAAGTTTCCACTTTTGTGATTTTTAATAATGACTTATTTCTTTGTCAGTACATCTAAACATTTTTCAATTTTGTGAATATTCTTAAAGAACCAATTTAGTTATCATCAATCTTTATTGTATAGTTTTAATTTCTTATTATTTTAATTTGTATTAATTTCCTTCTGCTACTTGCTTTGGATTCAGATTGCTATGCTCCTCACCTAATTTTTCAAGATAAAAATTTACATTATTGATTTGCATTATTGCATTATCAATCTGTTTTTGACATAGAAACTCATAGCCGTTGATTTCGCTCTAAACACAACTTTAGCTGCATCTTATAAGTTTTGAAATGTTGTCTTTTTGGTTTCACTCATCGTAGAGTATTTTCTATTTTTATTGTTCTTTCTTTTTTGATCCATTTGTTACTTAGAATATGTTTGTAAAGGTCTGAAATGTCTGTTTAGCTTGTTTAAACTTAATTGCACTGAGGTCGGAGAATAATCTTTGTATAATTTTAATTCTTTTAAGTTTGCTGAAGTTTGTATTATGGCCTAATACATATATGATCTATCTCAGAGAATGTTCTATGTACCCTGGAAATAAATGTGTGTTCTGTTCTTATTGGGTGGAGTGTCTTATAGATCTCTGTAAGAGCTGATTGGCTTGTAGTGTTCTGTTGCCTTGTTGCTCTTATGCCTAGTTTTTATTTTCATTATTAAATGCTAAGTATTAAAGTTTCCAATCATTACTGTAGAATCATGTATTGATCCCTGCATTTCTATCTTTTGAAATATAACTTAGAACTCTCTTCTTAGATAGAGATAGAATTGTTAGATTTTCCCAACAAATTGAGCATTTTCACATAACAAAGTGAACTTTGTCTCCATTGACAGCTTTTAAAAATGTTATTTTAGCTGATATACTTATAGCTACCCAAATCTCCTTTGGTTATTTCTTTTGTGATAAATTATTCATATTTCAGATTTTCTCTCCTTTCTATTCATGTTTTTCTATATTGGATGGGGATGGTTCACTGTGCCTTTTTGTCAGCAAGGGAGGAGGACTCAGATTTTTGCAGTGCCAGCTAAATCCACATTAGCGTCTATGAAAATAGTCATCTCTTATTCGTGATTTTTCTTTTTCTGGTTTCAGACACCTGTGATCAACCACAGTTTGAAAATATTACTTTGAAATCGCCATACCTGAAATCGTTTGTAAATGTTAAATCAAACATTATTCTGGGTGGTATGATGAAGTCCAGTCCCATTCTTCCAAGGATGTGACACATCCCTTTGCCCACTACACAGGCTATGTACACTACCTCCCTAACCTCCCTATTGGTCACCTAATAGCCATCTAGATTAATATATCCTACTGTGGTATCGCAGTGCTTGCATTCAAGTAACTCTTGTTTTACTTAATAATGTCCCCAAAGTACAATAGTGCTGCTGGCAATTCAGATGTGCTAGAGAGAAGATATGACTATAACGTGTTTCCTTTAAGGGAAAAGGTGAAAGTTTCTACTTAATAAGTAAAGATAAAAAATATGCTGAGGTTGCTAAGATCTAAGGTAAGAAAGAATCTTCGAATCTTCTATCTATAAAATTGTGAAGAAAAATATATAAGGTTTGGTACTACCTGCAGTGTGAGTCATCCACTGAGGGGACTTGGAACATATAAGGGCAGATTACTGTAATGTTTCTTGTTTGACTGTTCAATGTATGTTTTGTGGACTTTGGTTGTACAGGTATAGAACTCAGAGTATTTTCAATTTTTGTACAGGGTTGTCTGCTTCCTGGTTATTTGATGGTAGCTCATCTTTCATTGTGACTGTTATACAATTCTTTAGCTAGTAATTCAACCCTTCAGAAATTTTCAATATGTGTTTTCCCCCATGGCAGTGAATCATCTGATTAATGTACTCAGTGACTTCAATAGCTATAAAACTTGTCACTTCAGAGGCTATTCTAGAAACTGGAGACAACTTTCCCATGGAAAACATGCCTTAACCCCAATTTTGTTCTGATATTATGCAATGTTAGCGATGATCCATCTTAAAAACTACCATCCTCTGTGAGTTTAAAATGTAAAAATAAATAAGCAGATAAATAAATAAGTAAATAGGTGATAGATATAGATGAATGATAGATGATAGATAGATAGATAGATAGATAGACAGATAAGGGAAACAGACAAAAGAAGGAACAGGGACTGGGAAAAAAGGATGTGGGAAGGGAGGAATATATGTTGCATGGACAAGAGAGAACTACTATAATGTCTCATTTTTGAGTTTTTAATGTGTGCTTTGTGGACTACAGTTGTGCAGCTATCAAACTCAAAGGTGTTTTCAATTTGTTCACAGGGTGGTCTCTTTCCTGCTAATTTGACTCTATCTCATCTCTTTGGTCACATTAGTATGTGGAAAGAAGAAAGAGAAAAAAAGAAAGAAAGAAAGAAAAAGAAAGAAAGGAAGGAAGGAAGGAAGGAAGAAGAGAAAGAGAGGAGAAAAGGAAAAGAAAGGAAAGGAAGGAGAGGAGGAGAACAGAGAGGAAGGGAGGGAAGCAGAGGAGAAGGGAGTTTGGGCGGGGGAAGAGAAGCTACCTTTTCTCAGTTCCCTCTTCAATGTATCTAACAGGTCTCCCTGCCCAAGCATTTTGACCAGAATTGGGTAGTCTTGAATAGCTCTATCTTTCAGTGTGTTATCTTGCCTACTTTAATTCTTCTCTTCTTTCAAAGTTGGACTTTTTCTTCCATCTTATCTGCTTGAGAGATTTTGATATGTCATATTTTCTCCATCTCAAGGCAGCACCCACCACGCCCTTCCTTAAGACTGTACCAGAATATGTAGGAGCTCATGATTTGTAGTGGTGCAAATTAAAATACAGAAAGTTTCAGAATTTTTTAATTACTTTATCTATTTATTTGAGTCAGGGTCTCACTCCATTCGCCAGGCTGGAGTGTGGTTGCATTCATGGCTCACCACAGACTTAGCCTCCTGGACTCAAGCAATCCTCCTGCCTTAGCCTCCCAAGTAACTGAAACTACAGGTATACACCATCACACTTAGGTTTTTTTAGTTTTTTATAAATATGAGGTTTTGCTATGTTATCTAGGCTGGTCCCAAACTCCTAGGTTCAAACGATTCTCCCATTTTGACCTCCTAAAGTACTGAGATTACACGCATGAGCCACGGCATTGGCCCGAGTTTCAGGTATTAATACCATTCTTTTATACATTGTATCACAACATATCTCAGAAAATTTTAGCTATATGTTTTATATTTGTACTTCTGAAATTCCTTTTGTCTTCCCTTAAAACTTGTCCATAATGTCAGTGTAACACTAAATATTTGGAAGATAAAACAATATAAATTTAACATGCAAAAATATATTTATACAATTAATAGATGAATATCTTTATCTGAAATAATTTTATATTTCCTTTTAAATGTTTGATATCAAACTAAAAGTTACCAGGATGTTATTTATTCTGATGGTAATAATCATATAGTATAGCCTCTAGTTTCTTTGTTTTTGCGTACTCATATCAGCAGTCCCCAAACTTTTTGGCATCAGGAATAGGTTTCATGGAAGAAAATTTTTCCACAGACTAGGGACTAGCAGGGGATGGCTTTGGGGTGATTCAAGCTCATAACATGTATTGAACACTTTATTTCTGTTATGATTACATTGTGATATATAATGAAATAATAATACAGCTCACCATAACCAAAAAAAAAAAAAAAAAAAAGATGTGTAGATGTAAGTGGTAGATAAAATAATGTGTGGGCCATGCATGGGCTAAAATAAGTGTCAGATTCTGACTTAAAACCTACCACCAGATGCAGCTGTACAATTGAAGTACATGAACTAACCTGGTACCACTGGTTGGGTTTTGATATGAGTCTGCAAACAATTGATTTATTATGGTCTCTGTGAAGCCAAACCTCACTGCTAATGTTAATCTGTATTTGCAGCCACTCCCCAACGCTAGCATCACCATCTCAGCTCCACCTCAGTTCATCAGGCACTAGCTTCTCATAAGGAGCATGCAACCTAGACTGTTCCAATGCATAGTTCACAATAGGGTTTGCACTCCTATTAGAATCTAGTGCGATACCAGTCCATGGCCAGGGTGTTATGGGGACCCCTGTTTTACATTGTTCCTTCTATTGTAAAGCACATTGTTAATGTTATAAAAACAATCACAAAAAAGTGTTTTATATTTTGGTAGAAATATTATATATAATACAATGTTTTATATATTTATATATAGCCTTCATATATAAATATATGTATATTAAATATATTATTAACACAAAACATAGTTTTAGTTCATATAGCATTTTTAGCTTTGTTTTGGTATTAAAATTATGTTACTCTTTACTTTTTAAAAATCTTTAAAGTATTTTTAATTTGCCATAACCTTATGTGCTTTTATTATGTACAATATATTTTGAGATACATATATTGTGGAATTGTTAACTCTAGCTAATCAATAAATTCATGACCTCACACATCACTTTTTCAGTGAGAGCACTCAACCTCTGCTCTTTTTTCAAGAATACAATATATTATCATTAGCTATAGTCACCCCATTGTACAATAGATCTCTTGAATTTCTTTATCTTATATAACTATAATTACGTATTCTTTGACCAACATCTCCAGGCCCACTCCTCCCAGGCTCTGGTAACCACCATTCTACTCTCTATTCCTACAGGATCAACTTTTTAAGATTCCACATATGAATGAGATCCTGTGTTTTTGTGTGTCCAACTATCTCACTTCACATGATATCCCCTAGGTCCTTCCATGTTGTCACATATGTTTAAATTTTATTCTATTTTTATAATCAGATAGTAAATTCAGGTACAAAATTATAAAATAGGTATATATATTCGATGTTTTAATCCATTTGTCCATTGATGGACATTACCCCGATAATTAGTTATTATGGTAAATAAATGTAAGAAAGATATGACCTTTCCATTTTATCTCACTTAAAATCTTTTAAAAGATAATTTACTCAGGCTTTGTTCACAAAATTCACTTTTAATTTGCATTTTCTGAATTTAAAATTATGGCTAATTTCTAATAAAAATTTAATTGGTACTAATAGTTTAAATTTGACTTCAAAATTTAGAACCATGAAAAAAAATCTTTAATTAAAATAGCTTCCAAATTTGATTATGTACAACTGAAATTTTTACATGTATAGGTTACTTTTTTATTTTGGTTAAATGGGGCTATAATGTTATGTAACAAATGGTTTAACTTTATGCTTTTCAAGCAATAGCACTTTAGTTAGGTTGTGCCCTCACAAAGATACGTTGAAGGATTAACACCTGGTACTTGTGACTGTGACCTTATTTGGAAATTCAATAGTTTCCTTTTATCTATTTTTTTTTCCTGCAGTTTAAATTACCCATGGTCCACTGTGCTCTGAAAATATTAAATGGCAAATTCCAGAAATAAACAATACATATGGTTCAAATCACATGTTATTCCGAGTAGTATGATCCTGCTCCATCCCATCTGAGACCCGAATCATCTTTTTGTCCTGTGTGCTGGATATTCTATCCACTCCTTGACCATCAACACCATCTACTCCTGTCATCCAACTTGAGGCATCATCCTGGCCCCCTGAGACAAGATCGATGGTTATGATACTTAAGAGAAAAAAGTAAATAATAAGTAATTTAAAAGTAGAAGCAAAATATAAATATTCACAACTGGAGTAAGAATTTGCTTTTAAAAGTTCAGAGCATTAATAAAATCAATGTATTCATGCATTTCAAAAAGCCCAAAGTCCAGAGGAAACAAAATATATATTCCTTATACCAAAGATGATGCAATCTTCATATCCCTAGACAAATGTAAAGACATATATTTTATATGTTTAAAATGTATAATTCCAAATAAATAAATAAAAGGAAAGGAGAAAAATCTCTTTGAAAAACAGATTGGTGAGGAATTTAAATTGTGTACTATCTTAGATCTTTATATGAAGAGAGACATATATACACAAACATACATACGCGTCTATTGAAGAAAATGCATGTAGATATTTACTATGACATCAGCACAAAGGAAAACAACATAAAAGTCAAATAGATACATCTTGATATGAAAAAATACTAGGATGATAAAAAAATATAAGGAGGCTGAGAATGAAATATTACTGTATCAACACCATTAGCATTAATAAATAATACTGAAAATACTTTAAAAATATTACAATCACTACAGACACTTCAAACTATATCATTGTAATTGTATCAGTGAAAAGGGAGTGTTAACTTGTCCAAAGCTAATCTCCTACACATTGAACTCCCAGAAAAGTATTTGGGAGCAAGTCCCATAGAAAGAAGTCACAGCCTCGTGTTTAGGCAATCAATTCTGTTCAACAGCAAGTCTTGGGCCTGAGCCTCTGATCCTGCCAACGAAAGGCTTGTGCTTTCTAATCCACAAACACTGGACTGGCAGGTTAGGACTGGAGCCAAGGTTCTGTCCCATTCTCTTGCTGTTGTGTGTGTCTTGACTGCATCACACTAAGAAGGGGCACTTTATCACTCATGGAGGTTTAAAAAGCATGCAGCCCAAGGATCATAATCCCTGTCCTCAGGCGATACCTTGCTAGACCTCTGGGAAGGGGGGCAATAGGGGATCCACACACCAGCTGCTGCACTATCTCTGTGAGTTTTCTCAATTACTACTCTTTAAGCAGGAGGCCTAGCATTTGTGCTTGACATCTGGCCTTGACATCTGGCCTCGTCTGTGAGACAGTGCCACGGTCCCACTTTCTTTTTTTTGAGTTGGAGTCTCATTCAGTCGCCCAGACTGGAGTGCAGTGGCCGCTCCCGGCCACCGCAACCTCAACCTGCTGGGCTCCAGCGATCCTTGCACCTCAACCTTCCAAGTAGCCGGAATTACAGGAATGCGCTACCACGTCCGGTTGATTTTTTGATTTATTGTAGAGATGAGGTCTTGCTGCCCAGGCGGGTCTCGAACCCGCGGGCTCAGGCAATCCACTCACCTCAGCCTCCCAAAGGTGCGGGATTACAGGCTGAGCCACCGAGCCCGGCTAGTCCCACCTTCTTAAGAGATGTTTAAGAATAAGCTATGTCATATTCTTTGAAAACACCAGGATGCTGGTTTAAGTTAACTACGTTTCTCAGAATTGCCTAAACAGCAGTATTATTACTATATCTTGCTGTTCCTTTGCTTCTCAATATTTATAGATATTTGGGAAGCATTTAATACTTATTTTATAGCAAGTGATTTTTATAAAAATATAAAGAAAGTTGATAATATTATCTGATTATATATGTCTTATTATGGGTTTATTGGTCTTTAATATTAAAGTTTAATATTTAAGGGCAGCTATCTCAACTACAGATTTACATTGAATCAAAAATCTAATTTACTTTCTTGTTCAATAAATAATGAGTGACTACTATACACAAGGTGACTCTATAACTATAAAGGTTAGGCCTATAGTAGAGATTTTGGCTTAGTTCAAGATGTCAAATGCTCACCAGAGAATGATACTTGATCGGTAATATGACAGCTAAGTAGAAATTGAGCGGGTATGGCTGAAAAAAGATCTTGTTTCAGGCAGACTAATAACAAGTGTAAAAGACATGAAGCAGGGTTAAGCATGGCAGATAGAAGAGAATGAAAGTACTATCTGGAGTGAAGAGGAAAAAGAAGAGTTTTATACAACCTGAAGCTGAGCTGCACAATCTAGTTGGGGCCAGGTCATGCAGCTTATAAACCAAGTAAAGGCATTTTGAATTGATGCTAAGAACAAGCAAAAAAAGTCATAAATATGGACATTACAAAATTGTTATGTTTTGAAAATAACCATCTAACCGTGATGTAAAGAATCTAGCTTAGATGCATTCAGGAGGTGCTTTCAAGTATTGCAAATGAGAAATAATGACAACTTGGACAAGTAATATTGTGGTACAGTCAGAAATAAGAGATCAGAATTGAGATATTTGCAATGTTGAATGTACTCACTGATGATGACATATGGGGGAAGATTAAGAAAGTAATTCAAGACTGACTTACACAATTGAAAAGATGGTGGTACCATTCTCTGAAGTCAAGAATACAGGAAAATAATTAGGGCCTGTGGAAAAAAATTGGTGAGTTTAGTTTTGGGTTTATTGATTTGGAGTGTTTGATGATGTTCTTCTAATAGGAGCTATTGTCTAGTCAGTTGTTTATGGTGTCTCAGAAGAGAGGTCCGGCACAGTGGCTCATGCCTGCAACTCCAGCACTTTAGGTGGTCATGGCAGAAGGATAGTTTGAGCCTGGGCAACATAATGAGACCCTATCTCCACAAAAAAATTTTAAAAAAATTAGCCCAGCATGGTGGTGCATGACTGTAGTATCCTCTACTGGGGAGGCTGAGGCAGAAGGATTACCTGAGTCCAGGAGGTCAAAGCTGCTATAAACATTGAGTGTGCCACTGCACTCCAGTTTGGGCGAAAGAGTGAGACCCTGATCAAAAAAAAAAAAAAAAAAAAAGTCAGAAAAGAGGTCTGTCCTAGTGGTATATATTTTCCAGTTATTTGCAAATAGGTTTTTCACAAACAGGCAATAGAAACAACTGTGAATCATTGAAGCAGAGGAGTGAGTTTATTGAAAGGATTTTTATTAGCGCAAGAATTCTTTAATGTGGTCACAGAACAAGAATTAGAAAACAGTCAAGAGCAAAGAAAGCCAGGTGACCAAATCAAACAAAAATCACTCCACAGAGCTCCTGAGACCTCATGATTCCATACACCTGATACCTCTCTACTTCATACACCTCTTGACCCCTCTGTGCCACAGGATATGGGATATTGCTACAGGTATTCCAGGCGCAGTTGTTGCTATTCAAGCTGCAAAGGAGAGGCTGCTGCTTCACCTACTGCTAACACAAAACTGTTTGTGTTTATTTATATTCCTGTCTGAAGATTTAAATTGCTAGACATGTACATTTGATGATCCAACGTAGAACATATGCTTTTGTGGGAAAACTGTATCCTTGTGGCTTCTCTGACTCCCAACCAGTCTCATTCAGTGGAGAACAAGGAATGGGATGCAGTCAATGAACAACCAATAATCATGACCAATATCTATTTCTGTCATTACACTAAATATATAATGGATTTTTAAAAAATCATTTAAAGAAAGAATATAAGGTGAGGAAATGAAAATACTACTATTTAGAAGTTCATCTATTTAATTATTTCTATATAGCAGAAAATGTCTCAGAAAGGCTCAATTGTGAGCCTTTTTAACTTTTGCCCCTACACATTTTTGTGGCATTTATTGATTGGTTTAATATCCTGGAATTTCCCTTTTATGATTGCCTTCATGATGGAATATGTAAAAAAAATTATGAGCAATCTACTTTTTATTTCATGAATGCTCTCTTTGGAGGACACTGCATATAAGCATTATTACCTGTGATAAGGCAGAGAGAATGTGGTAAACTGCTGTTGGTTTAGACAGGTGGTTAAAAAGAATCAAAGACTATGATTTTAAAGAAGAGTTTGTATTAAGGTGAGTTATTCATATGTTGAAGCACTCATGTGACCTCATGTGACTGTACTGGGGAGAGGGCCTTTAAGTAGGTGACTAAGTTTAACTTCATAAGAGTCAAACTCCAAGCCGGGCTCGGTGGCTCAGCCTGTAATCCCACTCCTTTGGGAGGCTGAGGTGAGTGGATTGCCTGAGCCTGTGGGTTCGAGACCCGCCTGGGCAGCGAGACCTCATCTCTACAATAAATCAAAAAAAAAAAAAAATCAGCCGGGCGTGGTAGCGCATGCCTGTAATTCCGGCTACTTGGAAGGCTGAGGTGGAAGGATCGCCGGAGCCCAGCAGGTCGAGGCAGCGGTGGCCGGGAACGGCCACTGCACTCCAGTCTGGGCGACAGAGTGAGACTCCAACTCAAAAAAAAAAAAAAAGAGTCAAACTCCAATAGAACTGATGCCTTTATTATGAAGAGGAGCAGACATCAGAGCTCTCTTTCTGTCATTTGAAGACACATCAAAATGGAGATTCTGTAAGACTGCAAGAGATCATATCAGAAATTGACTACGCTGACCCTGACGCTGGACATCCTAGCCTCCAGAACCATGAGAATAAATTCCTGTTCTCTGAATAATCCAATCTATGGCATATTTTTTTGTGTGTGGCAATCTGAGCATACTAGCACACTAATACACTCTTCGTCTTTTACTGATTTTGGACTCCTTATGGTTTCAGAAAGACATGAGAAGATCATGGTGTACTCCAACTTCAATTGAATAAGGGAAGAGTACCCAGATCATTTGCTTTACTATACAGTATCGGGATAATGTCTGAAGAATTTTCTATGAATGTATAGAATAAAAATGACCTGTATTAAACAAAATATAGCAACGTTTCCATATTATATATACATAAATTATTTTAGAATTTGAATACAAGAATGAATTATATTCACTTCAATGTATAATCAAATATTTATATATTAAGTAGAGTTTTTTATTGAGAATATTTAGGAAGAATATGTTTATATAAATATTATGTCAATAATAAAATTATTAAAATGTATTGAAACTTGCTAATATTTGTGTGTGGTACATACATCATTACCAATATATTAAGGGTCTACTTCTTTATTATCACATATATATTGATTTGCAAATATTTATTTGTCTTTTGAAAAATTATACAGTTTTCTTATACTTGTTCAAAAGAATAGTGAATTTTTAATGACTTAATGACTCATGCTCAACCTCAAATACTGTTTTATATGCTATTAGTAAATGAGATTCTCACATGGGCCTCTCAAAGCTTTGTAAAGTCTTATCAAATTAGTTTATCAATAATTGCTCTAAGAAATTTTATTTTACTGAAAACACTTGGTCAGATTATCTGTAATCAAAATTTTTACTCTTCATTCCCAAAGTCTTCTCTCAGTCTTTAATTGAAATCTGTGATACATAAACAAAATATAATAAAATCTGAAAGAATTAAGGATATGTTATTCTACTTAACTGTGAAATCTTTGGGACTACTAATATTGTTTGTAAAAAAAAAAATCTACTTTAAAATACTTTGTTTCTTGTCTCTAAGAAATATCAATTGGCTCATGAAAGTATGGCAAAAAAAAAAAACTGAAGAGACTATAGGAAATATGCACAAATGAAACATAGCATTTTAAATATAACTAATGCACATTTAAGTTTATAATATTTAAGAAAATGTCTTTCAAATTTTTAAATGTATTTCTTTTTACAATCTAGATTGAAAGAATTTTCAAAAATAATCTCAGATGTCTAATTATTAATATACACTAGGGTGAATAAAATTACAAAGAGTCACATTCGTTCTATTACTCAGAATTTATGCAAGTGAATAATTTGTGCATTTTTCTTAACTTAATATTTTGTTTGGGAGGTGAAAACTGCTAAAAAGATAGAATTTGTGTTAGAAAGAAAAAAATATGTGATTACAACTCAAACTTCTTTCAAATAAATTTGAATGGCGATTTAAACAATCAATAATGTTCTATGTGTCTGTCAGACATTTCCAATAATCTATCAATTAAAATTTCGTCTAATTTTATTCAGTCACTGTTTTGCCTCGTTGTCCTCATACTGACTATGAAGTTTATAATATTGTAAATGTAGAGCAAATGTAGGAAATGTAAATTTAATTGATAGAAATTGTTAGATATTTGCAATGCATGTGGCTTCCCTGCACCTTCTCTACACATTCTTAGAAACATTTCAGCCTCAAACTTACTTTCCCCTTTGCCTTTCCTTGTAGTGCAGGCATGGGACCGCAGTCCTACAATTCAGACCCAACTTACTATTTGATTTTTAAAACAACAAATGAGAAAAGCAAAAACTTAATAGAGTTAATATTCTGAGAAGAGTGAGTGTGAAAGCATCTGGCTCTTAGGGGCAGAAATTGTTCTTAGTCAGACGTTCAGCATCTCAAAATACCATAATGGAAAGAATAGAAAGCAAACAAGAGAAGACCGAGAAGGGACATTTGTACTTTTAGAAGAAAAAGAAACACAGAATGATCAGTTTGAATCCATCTACCTGCAAATTTTTCTTTTAGATGTTTTATATAAGTTCATTTTTGTTCTAATAAAATATGCTAATTTTTAGATATTTTAAAACAGGAGTTGAATTCAAGAGAAAAGTGCCAATCAAGGTGACAGTGTTTATCCAGTCTCAACTGGCTATATGGTATGAAACTAAGGTGTTCTTTGTTTGCAAGAGCTAAACAATAAAGGAAATGAATTTTTAAAACCTCCCATTGAGATTCAGATCTCAGTGGACTCAGAGCAGAATCGTTTTACTCTAATAGATAATTTTTACTTTAGAGAATTTTTATTCTAAAATTTCATGCATTAGACATAAATACAATTTTGTTTACTTAGAGAAATCTATTAAAAATCCTGGTAGGCCAGGGTAAAGACAAAGAGTGGGAAGGGAGCAAAATGGAGGATGGGTGTGAATAAAGATGATTAGAAATCTTAGAAGTTTACACTCCACTTTTCTCTTGAAATTTTGTAAAAAAAACAACTTTCTCTCTCTCTCTCTTTTATAATCAATATTTTTTATTTGATATTGTGGGATATAGTTAAGGGTTAGTCATACAAATATGCTTTGTTCAGGCACCCTTGTTGATAAGAGGTGTCTCCCCGTCCCCAGACGGATATTTACTGCCGTCTCTCTCTTTTTTTAATGTGGGGTACAATTTAGAATTATGTATATACGTGGCCATCATACAGGTAAAGATTGGGCCTCCCTTTTATTCCACTTTGCCTGGTTTGAGATCAGATACACTTACTGATGTTGTGTCCCCCTCCCACCTCAGCAGTATTCTGGTACTGCCAATCTTTCTCTTATAGTATTATGGTAAATGTTCAGGGTTCGCTTATGAGTCAGAACATATGTTACTCTGCTCTTTGTTTCTGTGATAGATCACTGAGTATGACAGACTCTAAATCCATCCAAGTTGCTGTGAAGTCCATATGTTTGTCCTTTACAGTTGCATAGTATTCCATTGTGTATATGTACCACGTTTTTTTTATCCAGTCCAGTTTCGATGGGCAGCACTGTTGGTTCCATG